TGTTCTGTATTGGAATGTAATATTTGAGCGGGTGGAGGGTGAGCCTCTGGGATTGTATGAATCACCATACAGGAGAGGGAAGTTGTGAAGATCTGCTCTTCTACAGAAATTGTTATGCCCCTCCTGAAAGAGGAGACCCATCGATACCAGATGGGCTCAGGTTGGATCTGACAAGTGGAAACACCCCACATTTGGATTAAGAAACCATCCGCATCAAACAGGACTAAAGACTCTTATTGTTCTGCTGTCCTCTCACTGAAGATGAGTCAGGCAAGGGGACTCCCAGCAGCTGAGTTTGCAGCTCAGAGCACAGGGAAGGAGGGAGCTAAAAACCCCAAGCCAAAGGAACTAGGTATCTCTAAGCTGCTTGGATTCATTGGGGAGGGGGGTGTTTCTAGGCATAAGCAAGAGATCCCCAGCTGCTTAGCCTGGGTTAGCCCTAAAGGACAAATAGAGCGTGCTGGTTATAGAAGCCTATATGACCTTCTGAAACCTAAGGCTGTAACTCATTCATGTGGCTATGGGCTTGTCTTCATGTATAGCCCTGCAGCTTTAGTGAAGATGTTTCAATACCACACCGACAGGAGAGCTTCTCCCATTGGCATAGTTAAATCACCTCCCTGAGAGGCGGTAGCTATGTCAACAGGCGAAGCTCTCCCATCGCCTAGCGCTGTCTACAGTGCGGGTTAGGTCGGTATAACTGCGTCGCTCAGGGGTCTGGATATTTCACACCCCTGAGCCACGTAGTTATACCCATATATGTTTATAGTGTAGACCTGGCCTATGCTTGCTTTAACCTTGTGAATAACTCTCTGGTTATTTTGCCTGGTCCTTTGGGATTAGGAGTAACCTGAATATTGCTGTGGTTCTTGGCGTAAGGGGTCATCACAGAGATTCACTCACCTGGGTGACAAGACAGCCAGCGTGCCCAAGGGGACGGGCTGTGATTTTGTGTTAAGGCTGATAAAGTGCCTGCGGAGTTGGCACTCGGAGCAGTTGGTTGATGAAAATCTCAGTTTTGAATGAACAACTAACTTGGGGTTTCTGCCCTGGTTTTTAACAATCTGCCCCACGCTTGCGTCACCGTTGGGCGTGCCACAACTTGTATAGGCCTTTATATCAGGGACTAAATCGTTTGACTTCCCTTAACTGAAGAAAGCAGATGGGAGTCACAGGCTGGCTCACAAACATGTGAGAGCCTGTTTGCATCCCACTCCCTTTCTGGCTACTAAATTAGCTCTGTTGTTTTGGAGATACATTTATTTCACCCTGCAAACATAAAGGGGTCCACTAGAACAAGAGACTAAAACACCCACATAAATAACAGAGTAGCATACTTGAGGGCGAACCATTTAACTAGATGAATCCTCGAAAATACCAGAATGACAAATGTGTCAGGGCATTGCAGAGCCAAGCCGAACCCAAAAAGAACACAATTCAAATATTCACTCATGGTGCACTCCAAACTTTCATTGCACAAACCACTCCGACCACCTCAGACTACATGGTGCAGAATGTGGTCCTTTTGCAACAGCTTTAATTACCATGAGCTGAATCTACCTCTAATCAACAAGCCCAGGCCCATTAGCTTATCCATCGCGGGTTGATCCAAGACAGCTGTCTCAAGATCAGTCCAGAGTCAACACTCGCTCCCTCTTGGGGTGATAAATTGACTATTTATCCCAATGCCATGTTACTTGGCTGAGATTAGATTTGACAATTTATAACACAGATACCAAACAATATATACTGTTATATTTTACAACATCTTAGCCATAGCATGCTTGAAGCTATCAATACTGCATTCATAGTATGGTGTTTTTTTGTTTTTAAGTAACTTCCCCAATATCTTAATCATTCCTATACATTATTGCAGTCTTACTGCTTAGTTACCAACTTGCAAAAAAAAAACCCAAACTCCCTCTAACTTGTGGTGTACCCGCCCTTTCGTGGTTACTATAGCAAAGGTTACAACCCAAGTATTGCTATTCTCCTACTTCCTATTATTATTTCTATAAGCCCGCTTGGCAGATAAATTATATTTTACCCAAAACTACAGATCCTCCATGATCATGTCAGGGGTCAATGTGATGGGGTGTCCCCACCACACAGCACTGGTAGGCCTATTAACCCCACAGGCTGCACCTGGATCAAGAGCCAGGGAGCAGGGAATTGATTGATTGCAAGCCGTTTCACCTGTGCAGGACTAGGCAGGGCCTATAAAACCAGGAAGTTGGCAACAGACAGGGAGGGCTGCTGGGAAAAGGCAGCCACTCCCTGAAAAGAGGGAGGCGGGTTGGGGGTGGTTCACCCAGAGAAAGGAGGGAAACCAGGAGTTGTAGGAAGCAGGCCAAGGAAGGAGCAGTGAGGGCTGGGAGAATGAAGCCCAGAACTGCTGGCCTGAGGGTCCCTGGTCTGGAACTGGGAGAGAGGGCAAGTCCGGGTTCCCCTGCCAGCTGCTGAGGGAGTGGCACCTAAGGAGTGAATGGGAAGACTACCTAGGACTGCTGAAGGAAAGACTTTGATATATCCCAGAAGGGGGGAATGACAAATGGAGGGCGGAGTCACGAAGAGGACGCTGCGGGTCCTGGGACGAGAGAATTGCTGCAGACCTGGGAGAGAGGCAGTGTGACGGCATGTGAGCACTGGGAGGGGCGTCGCACTC